ATGGATTCGTTGTGTCATATTAAGAAAAAAAAATAAATAAATAAACCACACACACACACCCCGTTGACACACACAAAAATACAGCGGACAGACGCAGCACAAAAAAGAGGGAACACGTGCTGCTGCAGACCCAAGAGCTCTACGCAGAGGTGCACCGGCGCCATGGAAGCAGCAGCAGAGGACAGTGTAGCAATGGAAACGGGCCGTTCTACCTAACCAAAGCGAATATGTCGGTGATCGCAGCGCATTCCGCTAGGCGGGTGCGCTAGGCAGATATGAGAGAGTTTGTCTAGACGATGGGCATGGTTTTTTTCTTGCGATGCGCTTCCTGTCGTACTTGTCGTGTTTTTTTTTTCTTGCTTTTTCTTGCAACATCGAAGCGGGTGCGCCAGGTAGACATGAGACAGTCTGATGTCGCGACGCAGTGAGGGGGGGGATACAGCTGTATGTAATAGTAGTGGTTGTTTATTTTTTTTGTTGCCTTTTTCCTGGTGCAACATCGAAGAACGGCAACTAGGGCCGAGATTTAGCTTCGTCCACTATTAGACTGATATTCAAGTTGACGAACGGGAGCTTGATCTGTGTCTTCCTTTCGCCGCCGTCGGCTAGTTCTGTTGAGCTGACCGCAATGGTGTGATCCATGTGAGGCCAATGCCATCTCTTTCTTGCCCACAGAGCAGCTGTTGGTGCATCTCTCTGAAAATTGGCAGAGCGGACTACTGCTGTACATAGTTCATACATCGCATTTGAAGGGTTGGTTCGCGCGACATTTATTTCAGGATGTGCATGCAATACGTGTGCTGAGGCGGGCAGAAAATAGCGGTGCAACATGCGAACATTTTTTTTCCAACACACTCTTGTGTGTTCGACAGGGTGGCACCATACGTGTCGCGAGAAAGTCTGCCCACGTCGACGCTAGAACTTCATTAATTTTGATCCATTTCGTACAATGCTGGCCCCGCAGAGCGTCAGGGTCACACCATTATATCAAACACCTCCTCAATAGTGTCGGACCGGCACTAATGAGGGATATTCGAAACCTCAATAGCGCCGAATCGGCACTATTGAGGCACTATTCTGAATAGTGCCGGTGCCCGCTATAGTGCCGATATAATCTCTGGACACATACCAGCACTATACCGGGCCCAGCACTGTGTGTATATATATATATATGTTTTTTTTTTCTCCCATCATTGGATCCTGTGAAGGTTACATTTTACAACACACGACACAACGGAGGGATTCTCCCCGATATTTTGTCGTTGACCCAGTAGAGAACTACAGGGCATGTATTGTAAAATGTAAGTTACCTATCTATACAGACAGATGTTTTTGTACTTCGCACCAGCTGGCATCACTGATATAAATCATCAGTGCATAGACGTAAAAAAGACTCGAAATAAGTCCAGTACCCAGCTGGTTTTGCTCCACTCACTGAAAAGACTTCACCGCATCCCGTTCGACTGCTGTGGGTATATCTCGAATGGTTAGTCTTTCTGTATGTGCATTTATTTTCCCTTAATTTTGTCGTCTGCCCCTCTGGCCCCTTTCCTCCACTTCTACTAGCTAGACGACCCAACCGGGGTCACATAGGAGGGGG